TATATATATATATATATATATTAATGTGTATGTCTCCCCTCCATTATTATTTGTTGTCAAGTGTTACCTTTTTAATTATTCAGAGAAGGCAGAAAAGATAGGCATGAGTTGGTTCTCATTATATAAACCTTGAGGTCCTAACTCCTAAATTCCATGATTATTGCACTGACATAATAGTGTTTTGATTGTTTAATTAAGATGGATTAGACTTGAAGGTTCTACAGGTAGATATGATTGAGATTGGATAAGCCAAGTGCTTAACAGAGCAGAATGCATTAGAAACCTGCAAAGGGACACATTCTATTAAAAGAGAGGGACCAATTGGAGTCAGACCAGAATCATATAGTGGCCCTATGATCTTTACATAAAGTCACATTTCATTGTCAATAGACACAACCCAAAAATAAAAAGATGTAGAGAGCTTCACCTGCTTCTTGAAATGTTGTAGGGTCAGTGACTATCCTTAATTGATTATTTCTAAATAGTAAATAAGGAATAAAACCAATCTAGGAAAGCAAGATTTATTGATATTATCACGTTTCCAATGTCAACCGACGAATTGTTTTTTTACTGTTAAATGTGTTTCCACCCTTGCATTGCATAGTACACATAATACAATAAGCTACTTGCATATCATATCAGATTCCAAAGCCTAATGTTACCTAAATGTGACAATATTTTCCCCACTCATATCACAGGTAGAGGCGTAGAGCAAACCTTAGTGGGGTCTAGATGTGTCGTAAGTACTATATGGATTTTCTACCATTTGGACGAGGTGGGTTTTTTGTCGCTAGGAGCAAATTGTACCCGTGTGGCATTTCTGAATCTCAATTGTACTAGACTCCTTTGCATCCTCACGGTTATCTTTTGTACAATGTCCTCTCAAGCCTTGAGTGGTTCACTTTCTGCAATAGTTATGCTGTTTGATACACATGGTTAAGAATTTAGAATGAACTTTTTAAATCTATGATATAACTAAAATCTCATTTTGTGCAAGGGGAAGGAGAGAGGGCTTGAAAAGGCCACGGTCCCCTCTTCCCCTTTCAATTTTTTAAAATGTATTCAAATTATTCTAAAAATATTTTTTTACCTCCTAAAATTTATAAAATAAAAATATCATATGTTGAAAGATGAAAATTATCATAGTTTATATTTATGAAAGAAAAAAAAATAAAATATATATATATATATATAATTGATATATAATATAATAGAAACAGAGATGAATAAAATATATAAATGATAATAAACCATTTATGATGTTAGAATATTTACAAATAAGTGTTATGAAAAAAATCTTATCTTCCACAAGACAAAATTCTAGTTCACTCTTGATTTCTTGGGCAATCTTTTTAAGGATAAAAGTATTCATGAGTAAATAAAATTTTGGACTAAAGATAAGTGTAATTGTGATGTATAAAACTTTGTGGCTCAAATCTGTATAACTTGATTTCGTGGGCAATCTTTTTAAGGATAAAAGTAATATGAGTGAATAAAATTTTGAACTAAAGATAAATGTAATTGTGATGTATAAAACTTTGTGGCTCAAATCTGTATAATAAATTTTAAGACAAGTCTTTGTTACAAATTTTAATATGTCATTATCGTCATACCTAATAGTAATTGAGAGTGTTTTTTCATCGCACCACATTTAAAATAAGTGTAATTGTAATTAGGTAAAATTGTTTATAATTAAACATGTACAACAATTTTTTTGAATAAATCTTTGTTGACAATCTCAACATGTCATTAATGTTCTACAAAATAATAAGTAGGGGTCTTTCGTCCTACCACATTTAAGATAAATATAACTGCAATTGGAATGCTAGCGGTTTATATAACAATTTGTTCAGATAGGTTTTGTTTAGCAACTTCAACATGTAATTAGTGGCAACCAATAGTAACATGTATGTCTTTTCGTCCTACCACATTTATTTATCAAAAGCAGAAACAGTAACAAGAAAATGGAAAACATTGAGAAAGAATGGCCAAGTAAAATTTATGTGACTAAACAGAGAAGTTAAGAATTATGAAAACATAAAACTCAAATAACCAGCCGTCTTTTAATGTAAACACAAATGCTTCTTATTAGTGTTACACTCAAATCAGGTGCTCATTAGTGGTTTCTTTCGATGAAACGTGGGTCTGTCTAGCTCTATGAGGAGATTCACATTTATAGAACTTCTAGTACGAGAGAACAAACAACTACTCAAAATGGTAATTTATGTCAAAATGAATAACCAAACTAAACTAAACAATCACTTGAGTTTGTTCCACTATTGAAATTACATAAACCTAAAAACTTTCAAAATTGCAAACCTTCCTTTAACTTTTTAGTAAGGCATGTCCAATTGTAAGTACTTTCTAAGCTCCCAAATTTCAGTTGAAAAAAAAAAAAGGGAAAGAAACCAAAGTAACCCCTCACTCATATCATAACTGTTGAACTTCACTGAGGGGTAAATACTGGTTTGTGAGTTGTGACAAATATGTTGAATAAAATGCTCAAGAAATAAATAAAGGGAGAAATAATAGTTTGTTGGTTGTTGCAAAACACACACAATGTTTGAAGGTGTAAGAAAATAAGCAAAGCCATAGGTGAGGGAGCAGAGTGCATTTATTGTGCAGTCAACTTGCAAGACCAGTAACTATTAATAGAAACAAAAAACTAATCATTAAAGTATCATTAGTTGTGACTTGGCCAAATTAAGATTAACTTTTGTCCTGAAAGGACAGCACTATCTTTTGATGTGGTAGCATGGTAATGCAATGTAATGCTATGCTGCTATAATCTAATCTCTCTTCCCTTATCACAATCTCTCACTCTTTCACTAGCAGACACTCTCGTACACACACGTTCACAAGGCCAACTGGCAATATTGATTCATTCGCATAAAGATAAAATAAGAAGGCGAAAGGATTGTGCAAAAGGACAGAACCAGTTTAGAATTCTAGTGCAATTCCTCTCTCTTAGTTCAATGATTTTTTTCCCCCAATTCTCCTTTTACTCCTTTTTCTTATTTATACTGAGAGAAGAAGAACTACATAAGAAGCACATGGGGTAAGAGACATAGGGAGATAGAGCAAAGTAGCTACTACCTCTAGGTCCTCTTCCACTATATGATCTTTCACATTTCACTTGATCATATCATACATATTGAGCATCTATAAAAGAACACCAACCTTGGTGCCTAGTTACTAGAAGAAAGAAGGGTTGAATGGATATATCTGGTGCTTCACAATACAGTAGTGCTAGTGAATCCGGTTGGACCCATTATTTGGACCAATCCTCTCTTTCTGAAAATTACTTCCAGAAGAGAGGTGGGGTTGTAGAGTATGAAGAAAAGGGAGCAAAAATGGAGGACTCTGAGGAAGATTTATCCATGGTCTCTGATGCTTCTTCTGGACCTCCACATTATGATAATCAATGCTATTGTGAGAATTGGTATCCTTACCTTTCTTTTACAAACAAGGAGCACCAAAAGAAGAAGAAGGCCAAAGAAAATGGCAGAAGTAAACAGTCTTCACCTCTTGATGACACTGCCAGTTCTCCTGTTTTCAACTGTCCAAAAGATAGTCACAAGGTTAATGTCAACATATAATATCTGTGCCTATAGTTTCTCCCTAGCAGAAAAAAAAATGTTAATGGGTTGGTTCTTTTGTTGTTGAACAGAAGCAAGACAGTTTCCAAAGGAATGGAGTACTGGAGAGTGAATTGGACTCTTCTCGATGTGTATCTGCAACAAGAACAAAGGTACAACTCAAATTCTGTAGCTAATTCTTTTATTAAATCATTCCACTGTAAGTTATGAGTTATAACTATGAGAGTCCTTTGCATTGCACTTTTTTACTGTTTTGAGCTGAAACTTTTTGTCTATGCAGAGAAGACAAAATTCCAGAAATAGTTCAGTTGCTTAGAGTGCTCTCTTGCTGGAAAACTAGCTCCAGAGGAACAAGGAGGTAAAGATCATCCATTTTTGTCTTGAATATTATGTTTTGTTACTTAGAAAAGACTTAAAAGAAACATGCTAACAAGTGCTTTGTTATTATATCTTTGATCAGGTAGTGATTTTGATGAAGAAGGGAAATGAGTGATTTTACTGTATCCTTTGTCACTGTTGTTGTTGCTGCATTGTTGTGGAAAGAGAGACCAGAAGAAGAATGGATGTCAAAGGAGAGAAGCTACTCTGTCTGTCAAAAGGAACTCCTTTTCTTTTTCTTCCTTCTTTTTCCCTTTTTTTTTTTTTTTTTCTAAAATATAAAAAAAGAAAAGCTCTTATGTTGTAATTTTACCACCTTTTTTTTAATCTGCTCCTATGCTACTGCCTATGGTATTGGGAGCAACCTAAGAGAATATAGGAAACTGAATAAGGTTTCTGTCTTCCATTTTCTTTTGTTGTCGTTAGTGGCAGGCATCTCTGGGACCTCCCAGGTCTTCTTTGGATACTATTCACAAACTCTTACCTCAGATCATATTAATATTCATTCTTTTTTCCGTTAATAAAAAAAATAAACACTCACTTTATTCTCTAAACTTGAAAAATATTGTCATTTGAAAGTAACAAATTATCAAATAAAAATACATATTAATAATCATATTAGTCTAAAATTAAAAGAATTGCATGCCAAAACTGATAACTAAAATGACAATAACAATCTGTTTAGATATAAACAAATATTTTTAGAATTTCCAGAAAAATCAGAAATTGTATTTTTAATAAAGAAGTTCTTAAAATTTATTCTAAATTTGTATTCAAATAAATTCTAAATAATTAAAACTAAAGACTTATTTAACCTTTTTAAAAATTTATTTCACAATTTTTAAATTTCGGGACTAATATAACATACTTTTCCAAATTCAAGAAACAAAATGATTGTGTACCCTAATAATAAATATGAAACTGAATTAACTAATTCAACATAGCTAAGAAGAGAAAAAGGAAAAGTGATTTCAGCACTCACCACCATGAAATAATAGCATATATGAAATCTAAAGGACAAGTAATGAGTAGTGACCCACTTTATTAAGTTGAGCCATTGCCAGCCTAGCTCACAACCACTTTGGGTGGGTAAATGTGGCAAGGTAAGTAGCTTCACACCCAAAATGGAGAATGAAACCAAAAGCCAAGCTTCATTTTGGGGACAGCCCCACCAGCTTGTGAAAACTACCCCACTTGAAATGTGATTCATTCATAACACTCGGTACAATTATTGAATATTTGTTTTGGTAGGATATCTAACAAAATCTTTTTATTCATAGTTTTTATATCCTCAAACTCCAACCAACTGCATGGATCTATTGGAAAATAACTTTGATTTTTTTGGAAACGACAAAACACACCGCTTTTCCTACTCATTTTTACTTTATGTGTACTATTCATTCACGATTTTAATTGAAAATTACAGTGTTGGCACTCCTTGGAAGACATCACAAGATTTAGAATGAAGGGTAAATTAGAAAATGCAAAATAAATAAATAAACTGGTTTTTGATTCTCGCAAACACAATTCTTATATTCACAAGTTTCTTAACTATAAAAAATATATAAATATATATAATTCAACAATTTTATATACTTATTAGCGGTTCAAGTGATCCAGACAGCAAGAATAACATAATAAATAAGAATAACTGTTATCAATTTAACAAAACTAATTATGTTTAATAAAAAATAAATTGCTCAAATTAATTTTATTTATGATATAATTTTGATAATCATAAATTAATAATGTATTTCAAAATCAGAAGTTGATAAAAAAAAATAGTTATATAAGTATAACATCAAATATTATTTTGATATTTATGTTTTAAAATTAATTAATTTAAAATATGTTTTAGAAATGAACTAATAATATAAAATATTAAAGTCAATATTTATAAAATAACTTTCATGACATGTTTTATATGTATTTTAATAATTTGTGAGTAAAGAGTTTTTTATTATTCATATACAGAGAGAGGGTGTTATAATTACACCGATGTAACTTTTACTAAGTATTACATCGCTCAATAACTTTATATTAATTGTAAATTTTGTAAATTCAACCGTTAGATTGAAAGTTCATATCACTTTATACGTGTATATCAAATTTTGTTAAAATTGAACAACAATTTGAAGGTAATCAAAGTGTTCATATTTTAGTATATTTCGAAATGAATATATTACGTCAATTTTGTTTTATAAAAATGAAGTATCAAATCATCTTGAATTAATATAAAATTTTGTACAACTTGAAGGTAATCAAAGTGTTCATATTTCAGTGTATTTTGAAATGAATATATTATGTTAATTTTGTTTTATAAAAATGAAGTATCAAATCATCTTAAATTAATATAAAATTTTGTATATATGACCTAAGAGATATGAACTTTCAATCTAACGATTGGATTTACAAAATTCACATTTAATATAAAGTTATTTGAGTGGTATAATACTTAGTAAAAGTTACACCGGTGTAATTATAACTCCTATATATATGTAGTAATAATGGGCA